AAAAAATCGGTAAGCGATTTTTTTTTTAATTTCTAAAAGCATTTCTGCATCAAAAATAAAATAAAAAAAAGTCCCTTACAAACAATTTTGTTGTTTTGCGTCAAGGAATCTATTTGTTTGGTTGCAAGAACCTAAAAATAACACTAATTTTTAAAGCTTAAAAAAGAAAAAAAAAACTTTTGAAGGTCATTGTAAATTACCTTGACCTTGAAACCGACCTTCAAAAGTAAATTTTTCATTACTTTGAATTTTTTTATTTAGCTAAATATCTTTCCTCGTTCTCGAGATATTCAGCCTAATTGCGAGTGTCGTGTCGAGTTCAAGCCGGTTTTCAAGAGTCGAGTCGTAACGAAAATTGAATGGCATTGCATAATTTTTCGACCCGACTAGTTTATTTGAGCAATGAGGCTGATTAGATTTTGCTACAAAAAAAATTTGATTTTCCACACTGAGTCCACGTTGGAGTCAAGATATTAAGAAATAGTAATATATTAGTCCAATAATGTATCCTATCTTTTTGATGAAAAGGATAAACAATTTTAGATGTGCCTTTTTACTTATAGCACCAATTAAATTGCGAATCGGAATCACGTTGTAAATTGTGTAAATTCATCCCAAATGTTCGTTTTCCACCAAACTTTTTTCTATGAACTTTTTAATTTTCCAAGTAACTAACTAACAGGAATCTTTAAAAGAGTTTAGTTACTTAACGCTAGTACTTTTGCCTTCACTTTTCTTGTACATAGTAGTATGATTTACCGGACGATAATATACTTTTAAATTTATCACATCCGCTAAACTAACAAAAAAAAAAAACAAAAAAATGAAACAAATACTTAAGTAGGTACGAATATAAAAGTTGCTGATAACATTAACGAGTTTCCCTTTCTAATGCGCTCTATGTAACGCGCTCGTAAATTTTTAAAGCCCGAGATGCGTATATATTTTTTTTAAATCTATTTTTCTTCACTTTCACTGCAAGTAAATGTTCAACGCTCAAATTATACAATTAGTCAATCGGTTGAGCAGCTCTAATTTAAGTTCTACTTTTACTGCGCTATCTAAATAAACATTTAATATTGTGTTACATACTTACACTTTGCGTTGAGTTTTTAATTTGGTTATTTTTATTTGTTTTTGTCTTTTGTGTCTCCGCGCATAGCGCAGTTTTAGTTACGCTATAAACAATTAGTCACCTGAGTGCACGCAAATTAAAATCATTAAAAAGGTAAAAAACTTACTTAATTAAAGAAAATCTTAAAAAAAAAAACAAAAAAGAAGCTACAAAAAAGGTAAAAATTACTTAATTAAAGAAAATCTGAAAAAAGAAACGACATTGCATCTTGTGGATGCTTAACGTTTAAAAATATTGCATCTACTCGCAAATGCTTGCTTGATTGACATTTAGCTAACTTGAACTCGTCTTCATATTTGATAAATTTTCAATTTGTTTTCTTAACATTATTTCTAAATTTGATTCAGCCTCACTTCCAAGTACTTCAGTGTCGGCTGTAAGTGGTTTCTTGGCATTTAAGTGCTGAGCAATTTTTTTGTTTGGGTCTGCTGAGCTAAAATTGCCGCCGGCTTAGAGAAACTGTACATTTATTTATACAAGCATGTATAGATTATTACTTATTTATATGTAGTAAATATGCTGGTTTTGTTTTGCAATCAACCTTGCTTGTTTTGCTAAACAAAATTTTTGTATTTTGATTCAAAAGTTTTTAACAAAGCTTTTTTTATTTTTTGCAGGTAAGCTTACGGACCAAACATATGTCAACTATACGTGAGTGATGTCAAATGATCTTACTTTGCTTATGCTTTAGCGTTTTGTAATTTTCGCAAATTTACTTTATGGCTTAATTTGGACACTTTGTTAAGTCAGATTGAGCTTTTCTGTCGGGACTTGTGCTGAACCATTTTTTTTAGGACAACCGAGTTTTGATTTCCTCTTCAAACGACGCTTTCTTTTAGCATATGTAGGCCACAGATCATAAGATGTATGCTCCAAAAAAAAAGGCTTTGAACCAAGGACCGTAACAGTTACAACTTTTATCATAAAAATCGCTCTTTGACAATTACTTTTTGACTTTTATGTAATTACTCTTTAAATAACAGTTTTCTCTAATTTTTTTTTTATAACTCCCGCATAACTATTATTTTTGATTTTTATCTAAATAATCTGCAAATAACAGTTATTGAAGACTTGTATTGCTAAAAGCAGTGACTTTAAAAGTCAGCAAATCAGTCACTGGCCTTTATTTTTTAGGTCATACTTGTAAAAGTCATTTGTATAAGGCGTAGTAAACTTTTCTTCTCCAACACCTTTTAACTGCGAAAAATGAAAGTGGTCAATAATTGTTATCTAAGATATATAATATAAAAATCTAAAATAAAATAAAAATCAAAAATAGTTCTTATTTTTTTTTAATTTTGCATACTAAAAAAATTATTTTCAAATTTGATTCTCCGTAAAAAGGAAATCGATTGGTATGTATCCCTTAGTTGTAGAACATTTCGTTCAATGTGAACTTTTAAATGGCAGTTTTCATCAAGAACTGTTATGTTCGGTCCCTGTTTTGAACTAAATGGTGAGCTCCTCCTCAACCTGTTTTCATTGAAAGCAAAGAAGGATTTTTTATATGCGAAATGATACAAGGCTTATAACAGTCCAACGTGAATCCTTAATATAACAAAAAAGTTAGTATACAAAATTTTGTTTTCTGAGCCCATACTTACAATGAAGAATATTTGAGCATAATGGCCTTAAAATTCAAATCAACAAGCCTTCCTAGGAAATTTAGCTCTGTCATTGCTGAGCTGAAAGCGTCATTTGTAATTGTGAATAGTCAGTTGTAAATGAGGATGCTCAATGGTACTTGCGAAAGTGTCAATTTAAAATGAGAATAGTAAATTGTAAATGGGAAAGCGTCATATGAAAATGCGAAAGTGTTTTTTGAAAATGGGAAAGCGGCATTTGCAAATGAGAAATAAAAGTAAAATCATTACGTACCATATAATTGATTTAAATGCGCTTATCGCTGGTAAAGCTTATTCAATGTGGTCGCTGTAAAACGCATTTTAAAACGGGGGTTTTTCACGCTTTCAGAATGTTATGATTTTCATTGTTGCTGCTTGCAAGCCCGTATTATTAGAGTAAGTTAGTTAAGAAGTCAAGAAAATATAGCGCTGATATTCAGATGAAACAATCTCGGCCGAATTCTGAAGAAACTTTACCACGAATGACAAAGCCTATATTTTCGTCAAATAATGCTGCTCTTTTGAATGTTTGGTAACATTTTCTGGCCATAACATATACACATCTTTAGTTCATAATAACCTCATTGAATCTGTTTAAATCATTTATTCGACACTATCAATAAAAAATTTTGCTAATCGATTAACCGATTAGTTGACTAGTCCATTGATAAGAGATCTACTAAGGAGGTTAGCAGAAACGGAAATTATATTTATGGGACGAGAAAACAGGACTGGATTTTTATAATTTGTTTCATTATAAAATAAAAAAAAAAACTGAAATGATTAATTAATCTGTCAGAAACTATCAGTCCCATCGGAAAATGATGTATATCGACTGCTGAGTGGAAGATCGACCTATCTCGGCAGCCAGTTCGAAAACGCCCTATCTCAAAAAACTTTTCAAAAACGTCCTATTTCAGAATTTGGTTGAAGAACGTCCTATTTAAGAATTCATTTCAAAAACGTCCTTTCTCAGCTGCCGATTCAAAAACGCCCTATATCAGTACATTTTCAGTACATTTTGAAGTGAGATAGGGCATTTTTGAATCGTATTCTGAAATTCTGAGTTAGAGTGTTTTTCAATAAAATTCTGAAATAGGGCGTTCCTGAAAACTTTTTGGAGATAGGGCGTTTTCGAACTGGCTGCTAAGATAGGTCGATCTTCCACTCAGCAGTCGATATATGGTTTATGGAGAATTTTGTTAGCTTTGCCGTATCTCAAATTTAAGATTGTTAAATAGGTTCGTAAGATAAACATGATTAAGTGCAACCCCTTTGGTTTTAAGTTGAATAACGGTAAATTGCAAATATCTCGAAAACGTATCCATAGAAAAAAATTAACTCCATTTTCGGAATCACTGAGCAATTCTACATTGAAATTTGATAGTGGCGTTTGGATAACAAAAACCAAACTAAAATTTGTTACCCGGTGAAATTACCAAAAGTCGACGCAATTCGTTAGGAACTTGAAACCTGCACTTTACTTTACAAAAATTTAATGAGCTATAAAACTGCATACTCAAAAAAATTCTAAAAAATCTGATTAAAATGTTGAATATTTAGATGTAACTTTGCAGATTTTTTTTTTTAATTTTGTAAAAAGTTTTAAATATGAATTTATATGGGTTTTGTTAGATAATGAGCTATACTTTTTTGAAAAAATTCAATAAACGAAAGAAAAATAGGGAAAATCTCTTAAAATGTCGTGTCCCTATTTATTTTTCCGCCACTGTACATAAATGGGTTGATGCTATTAGCAAAGCGTGGGCGTGGCACCGCCCGCTTACGATGAAATGTGTATACCACAGGAACCGTTTTACCGATATCTACCAAGCATGGTACGCGTACTGGTTTTGGTCTCACTTAACAAAGCATTGAATATTTTTTAATTCGGTCAATAACCGCACCCACTTTCCATATAACGGTAATTTTTAGAAACGTACAAAAAATGGTACATAATAAGTTGTAACATTGCGTTTTATTTCCCAATTCTTGTTCGTAGCATTCCGATCTGCGTCTTTTTGAGCTTTGCTGAATTTAAGGCCAGCTCCCATTTTCACCTTACGGACGAATGGTGCAGAGCCACCGCATTTTTTTACCAGATCCTACTTTTCGATCTATGTTTATATTACCATTAAAGCGTTTCAAAACTCGGCTCATAATTCGACGAGAAACGTTAATGGTTTTGGCAATTTTTATGTGACTCAATTTCGGATTTTATTTAAAAAATTTCACCATGATTCATTATTAAGGCATTAAAACCATATGCGATGATGCTCTATTTTGTTTTTATTGGACACTTAATACGAAATTAAAAAATACAAAAAAAAAACAATGCTTCACCCGCACTTAAACTTCTTTACATATTTTTCTAATAAAACGACTAATAAAATTAAATGCAAGCACTTTCATATTATCTGAAAACTTTTATGTGTAAACAAATCATTTGCTAATATTAGAACATATCAAATTCCTTTTACTCTTTACTATTTACTCCACTACTTCGTCATCATTTCTTCAGTACACCATGCACTTGTCATCCGGATTCATTTCCGCGCCTGGCGCACAGCCAAACTCTCGCGCAAATTCCACATTATTGGCCAACACACCATTTACGTCGAAAAGTTCCTCGGTGTGTGTGTCTAGCGGTAGGAATGTTGGTGGCGGCTCCTCCATATACCTGGCGTGGCAACGCGCTTGCGCAAAGCTTATAAAAAACAATTGTGTATTTGTAAAGTCCACACCCGGCAAAGTTTCACGCATAAGCGTCGGCCGATTGCTCGGATCGACCGATTCCAGCCAAGCAAGGTAGGCCTTGAACGCCACATTCAAACCGGCACTATCCGTCATAAGTTCGCGCAATTTGGTTACATTGTAGTAAACGTTCGGTATATTGTGCAAATAGTTGCTGTACTGCATGCGATAGCACTCGGAAATGTTATTGAAGTTCTCCATAACCAATTCATCGCGTGTAATTTCTGTTTCTTCCACGCCATCGGGTATTACGGCGCCAACAAGCTCACGTGCAATGTGCTGTCCAATAAGCGCATACTTCAGCGAATTTGCGTAGTGATAGTCGTAGAAGGGTGGCTGCAATATGCCCCAACCGGTAAGTATGCCATTTTCCACCAGCTTCATGTGCACATCCGGCGCCTCGACGATGCTTTCGTCTACTTCGGGATCACCGCCATAAAAACGTTGACGTTCCTTGTAGCCCTTGTATTTCATGGCGATGTCCTGTTTGTGCCAGAAATTTGTATGTTCCAAAGGCAGGTCTCGCAGATTGACATCCTTGTAGACGGGGAAAAGCAGCGAGTCATAAAGCATTAGCTTATTGCGGAAAGCATTTTGTGCATTCTCCGGCAAACCTTCCACATTCAAAGCTTCACGCATTGCTTCCTTGATGGCGCCAAAAAGTTGCTCTACATCGCTTCTAACTTCGCTGCGCTGATATTTATTTCTATACATCTCACCGATAACCTTGGGGAAGTAGCGCATAACAAGCTCTGCGCAATATCCCGCACGTGGATTGCTGGTCTCATTACGGGGAAAGTTAATCGCGGCCAATGCACGATACATTATGTAGTTGGTCAGCGTCGGCTTGGGATTAGAGCGCGCAGCACGCGCCAGATGGTGAAAGTAACGCTCGGATTGTACGATGATCTCCGAACTCGCAACGGTAGTATTGAGACTTAATTCCAAATACTTTCTGAAATTGATTATGTTACCGAACTGCTTCGACAGATATGCCAGATTGCGTCCTTCATAAACGTGACGCTCGGTTTTGTTATCCTCCGGCGGTGGCATTGATTCTTCCTCTCTCATAAATCGGCACAACTCGAATTCAAAACGTACGATATCGCCAGCGGTACGCTCAGTTTCGTGTTCCTTTAGCGAAAACCAAGCTTGCAGATCTTTGGACACCTCCGTCTGGAGTTGCGCGGAGATCTCTTCGCGAGCATCCGCTTCCACTGCAGATCCAGCGCTGCACAAGTGACGTGGAATCAGCGTCGTTTTCGGTTCAGTCAGGTAGATGATAGCTCTGCCCGGCAGCGAATGCCCCTTGTTTTCTACATCCATGCCAATGAGAAAATCAAAGCCATAATTGAGGCGCAGTCGCGCAATCACTTGCACCCAATCGTAGTTGCTGTTCCAGTTAGTGCCCGCGAGTAGGGGCATGCCGTGATACTCCTTAACGAAATTCATTAAGAATGCTTGCTGCAGCCCTGACGAACGGTCAACTGTTAAACAGGACTTGTAGAATTCCTTAATTTTACGTTCGTTCAAATTTGGTCTTCCCTTGCTGCGTGTATTTGCATCGAGCAGCATTTGCACGTCTTTGCGTACACGCTGTATCAATTGCGTTTGCACGGAGATTGGCGCGTCGCCATCTTGCAGCTGCGGCTGCTGATCTGGCCATTTGCCGCATGCAAAATCATAAAAGTTGTTGCATGGATCGGCTGAGAGATCCATGTATTTGAGTACCTCTGTTGCCTTGGCGTTGCGTATGATTTGCTCTTCTCTTTCGCGTCCATTGGCACCACGTTGGCTGTCAGCTTGCAATGCGAGACAAACTAAAGCGAGCAGAGCGAAGAGTAAGTGTGGTGGCTGTGACACAAATCCAGGCATTTTCACGTTATGAAGTTGCAATCTGTACTGAAGTGAAGCTCAAATTGTGTGGTTTCAAAAAGTTCGCTTTGATTGTTTTTTTTTTCGTTTTTTGCAAGCAACAGTTCGTTCTGGCGATAAGCAAAGCGCCCTTCGCTCGCTCTACACAAGATGTCGGTGCGAATTAATCGCGTCTCAACTCAATGTAGTAGCAAAGGTCAGTGATGTTTTTGTTTACATTTCCACAAATAAATCACAAAAGCTCTGAATTGCGCAAAGTGTCTGTGTTTACATAAAATTTTATAGAATTGTGCCGATTAGAAAAGCATCAACTGAGCGATTTGATTAGAAAATTCGGTTGGCGAACGACTGTTCTGGTGGTCATAAGCTTGTCGTCAAAACGCTGCATCCTACCAAATGCCCAGAAAAAAATATCAACTTATTTCCTAAAAAACTTTTATTTGCGTGTATTTGTATACTTTTCACACATATCTACTCGCACAATTACAATCGAACTTAAGCTAATTCTGTAAACTAATAAATTACACATTTATCTGGCGGATTCATTTCCACACCCATCGCGCAACCAAAGTCTCTTGCGAATTCCAAAAAATTCCTCAGTGCTCCATTAACGGCAAAACGTTCGATCGTATGTCGTTCCCGTGGACTTAGCGTGCGCGCCCGTTCCGTCGTAGTGGTTCTCCTTGTCCCCGTGCCGCCGGCATTGCAGTGCATTTGCGCAAAGGCAATGAAAAAGAGCTGCGTGTTGGTAAAATTAAATTCGGGTAAGGTTTCTTTCAACAGCTGTTCATAATCGTCCGTCGGTTGTAAGTAGGCCAGCCAATTCAGATACGCATTGAAGGCTACATTGAGCCCGGAACTCTGTGCTATGATTTCTCGCAGCAATGTAAAATTTGAAAACACCGCCGGATCGTTATACAAATAATTACTGACTTGTTGGCGGAAGCATTGGCTACGATTTTGATATTCAAACTCAGTCATGTGATCCCAATTAAGTAAGCCGTCCCTCGATGTGGACCAGGAGATGTCATCGAAGGCGCTGGCTAGCAAATTGGCCAATTTTTGTCCGATGACTGCGTAGCGCATGGCATTGGGATAATGTGTGTGATAGAGTGGTTCTTGCAGCAGTCCCCAGCCCATTTCGAAGCGTGTATGCTGCGTCGTATAGCGTATACATGTGTCGTACGCTTCCACTTGATCGTACCGATTCTGGCGTTCTGGTGGGAAAATGCGCTGAAATTGTGCCTCTTGCCTGTCCTTCATAAGAATATCTAAGTTGTACCAGTAATTGCTGCGATTGATATTTATATTACTAATCTCCATTTTGCCATAGACGGGGAAAAGTAGACGCATCTCTGCGAGCTTACTCTCAGCAATACGGCGTGTGTAGTCTTTGATCCATGACTTCTGTAAGCTCATACGGAAGGACTCTTTCAACTTGTCAAACATGTTGAGTACGTCATCTCTGGCGGCGACGTTCACGTGGTTTCTATAGTACATTTCGCCAAGTACCCTCGGAAAGTAGCGTTTAGCCTTTTCGAGGCAGTAGAATCCACGATTGCTGGGCTGGTCGTTGTGTGGAAAGCTCAGCGCGGATAAAGTCTGGTACATAATATAGTTGGCAATCACTGTTCTATTGGTCGTCGCTAAAGTCTTGATAAGTTGCCTAAAGTACGGTTCGGCCGCCATAAATACGGGTTTATGGATCGGCGTACCAAAGGTTGCCGCAGTGAAGTCAATTTTGTTCTCAAATTGGTGCGTAAAGTCGAAGAGCGTCTTGCGTATATCGCTGTTATAGCTCTGCCAAACGGCGATGGTCGGTTGCATTGCGTTTTGCCTTTTTATGCCAATACAAAGTTGGAATTCAAAAGCCACCAGTTCAGCCGCCACCCTTTGTGCCTTCTCCATATCGAGTGCCAGCCACATGTTGAGGTTCTCGGCAACTTCGTTTTCGATAAGCGCGTATTCTTCGGCGCGTATGTCGGTCTTATTTGTGCCCTCCTCGCTACACAGCTCCGGCGGTATGAAAGTGTCTGGTTCTCCCAAATATACGCTGTCCTCGAACGGATACAAATAGTTCACATCGATTTTCACACCGACCAATATATTCATGCCATATTGGAAGCGCAACTTGCCCACCACATCTTCCCAACAGTAGTTGTGACTTTGCATGTACCAATTAGAGCCTGGTGCAGCGGGAAAGCCGCCATGCGCTTCTATTATCTGACTAAAATATAGCTGCTGGCTCACATCATTTCGCTCCGCCGTTGTGCAGGACCTATAGAAATCTTTTAATTTGCGACCATGCACGCCGTCCTCCAGCTTGGTTTGCTCCTGCAACATGTTGCGCAAATCGTGATCGACCTTGATGCGCATATAGATTTCCGTGTTTTCCATGATGGGTTGTTGGTGCTTCGTATGAACGTAGGGTTGCTGCCAGCTGCCGCAGGCGAATTCGTAGAAGTCCAGACATGGATCGACGTGCAAATTCATGTATCTGGGCATCTCGTTGCGTTTACGTTGGGCTGTTGGATTTTTGCGCTCATTCTCCGCGGCGATAGCGACCCAAATCAGGAATAGTATTGTGCTGGTCCATAGTGCGCCTTTCAGCATAGTCGTTCACTTTGCCTTACGATGTAAGTTTGCGTACACACTACTAAGCCCCGGAGCGCACTAAATAGTGAGGCGGGCACCAGAAGTTCCGAACAGTTGCTGCTTGGCTTAGTTTCATTTATGAAATGTTGATAAGTGGAAGTGTTTGACAGGCTGTTGCATGCTATGCGATTCTAATGCTTTTTTAGTGTTAGAGGTTATCTCTAATATATGAAAGTGTGTATGTTTCATATAATTTATTTGTACATATGCAGCATAAAATGTGAAAATAGATTTGGCGTCAAAGAGTATGAAGGCGATACTGACAACTGATTGTGAATATTTACGAGTGTACAAACATATGTAGCCTGATTTAGGATTGTTGTGGGCGAGGCTTTGGAATGTAAATAAATGAAATAATAAACGAATTTAGAACTACAGTCAATAGTAGCCCAATTACTCGAGAACTGGACCGTTCAATACTTCCATTCGGAGACATAGTGGTCCATTGTGAGTGCCCTCTATGAGTGAGTCTTTGGAGGAGGAACATTCACCTAGACGAGGTTCGTTCACAAATCGGAGAGAAAGCATAATCAAGTGCGGATATCGATGTAGGAAGCGGTTAATTGATTGCTCTCCTAATTCATGGCAGCTTCTGAAAAGAGAACTCGTTAGTAGCCTTGATTAGTGAAGCGTCGTTTCAAGTTCGATATTTTTGTGTCTGGGAAAACAGCGCAGAGTGACGTTGAGATTACCATTGCCACGATTTCACCTGTTTTATACCTTATGGCTTTTAAAGCTTCGGGCGAAGATTGTCCGTCTGGATTTGAGCTATTCAAGACGCTGAAGTCGTTTGGCGGAGTAAAATATTCACTTGACTGCAGCTACTCCGAGCAGAGCCCGAAACCGATCCCTTACTCCAACTTTAAACCATCGGTTTAGTATCACTGTCTTTCTTCTCTATTAGGAAGACAGCCTCTTGCCCGAAGTTGTTTGGTTTCCACATGTGGGATTCCCTAAGCTTGAGGCCGTCCTTTGTTGATTCCCTCCTGAGGTATGGCTTTCACCGCTCCGGATTTTAGCTTTATTAAAAAGTTCGAACCTTTTTTTGCCAAGTATTTGTCTGAGTTTCAAAACACACCGGAAGCCGATTGAGATTGACCCTTGGACAGCTTTAACGGAGACTAATATTGGTAAATCACACCGATTAGGCCAGTCGGCACACACGGGAGCTCGACTTTCTCACTTGACGTTTTTTAGTAATAAGTCGATTCCAGCGCCACCTATGTTGCTCTTTTTGCAAAAGTATTGCCCTTATCGTTACCAATACATATCCCGAATATGAGCCCAATCGCATGATAAATACGAATTTTTAGTAATAACTCGACTCCAGCTCCAACTGGCGGTTCAAATTGTTAGCTGAAACTATCCAGAGATTCCCAGAAAAAAAACGGCTTTAAAAATATATATTAGTATAGATTAGAGATGGGCACGGCACTAAATGTATAATACCAATCCCGCCAATCACGAAGTTTAGTTTTTAAATCCCGAACCCTCCCATATCTATGTTTTTCAGAATTGTACCGCGGGTCCCGAAATATGTCACTAAGAAAAATTGACATGTCTTTCAAATTAATATTAAATAATAGTAAAAAAAAGCAATGAAAGATCTGGCATTTTCCGATTATTTTGTTTTGCTTTTCTCTTCGTTTTCATCTCAATAAAACACAAAAAAGTGCATATTAAGGAAGATTTTCTGAATTTGCGGTTTTGTCGGGAGTGTCGGGAAAGGATTTTGGTACGGTCTTGGCCGCAAAATTTTTACAAACCTCCCCCGATACCACCCATCCCGGCCAATTTGAAATCAGTACCGATCCGATCATTGATCAATTTTTATATCGAGAATTGAAAACGGTTTTGTTTTTTGCTTAAAAGTTACATGTTTTATCTAACTTTTGATCACATTCTTCATACATATTTTTCTCTTTCTTTTTCAGGCCATAAATCAAACTAAATTTCTATAAAATCAAAACTCATTAAACGAAAAGGCTAAGTTTATCATATCGATTTAATGCATCAGTGCGCATCAAATTTATTTAAAGAGAAACTAAGCGATAACAGCAACTACAACAGCAAAATTAAAGTGAAGTAATTATAGAGATTCGTAGTATTGATGACGGCCCATTAACACCGCAAACGAACGCGTATACCAGCAGATTTGCAAAACACCTTTCGCACAGCAAATCGCCGCAATATTCAGGTGTTTGGTGAAGGAAAGAAAGGAACTCTTGAACACGGTAGGTGTAAAACTCATGTAAAATAATAGCCATAAAGTAGTTTATCATCATTTAACATTTTAATCACTTTCACTTCACACACACAGCCATACATACGTAATAGAATAAAAAAAGGTACGAGTTAGTATAAATGAAAATTGCAAATCAAACAGCTTTGGACTTTTTTGATAGTTTTTTTTTTTAATGGTGTTAATAGGTTTATAGATTTAGCTTTATTATAGGAGTTTGTAACTCTTAGCTCCCATTGTAACTTCCACTGACTGTAAACACATTAGCGCGAAAGTGGCTTGCCAAAAAATTAAAAGTTTTTTGTGCCAACTTGCAGTTTGTTGTTTTTTTTTTTTTGGGAACTCACCGCTTGGTTGCATGATGCATTGGCATAAATTTTGGCAAGTTTTGGGTGCAAGAGTTCAGGCATCGTAGTTAGTCCTTGGTGCAAATGTGCACCAAGCGCAGGTTGCTATACATATTAGGAACAAATAAAAGAGAAAAGCATAAAAAAAATCGCTAGCTTAGAGTGAAAAGTTGCTAAGACCCATTTTACTAATTTAACAGGAGAGAAAAAAAACTTCTTATAGCCATTTTCTTCAAGTATTTCGCAAAAATTTTATTAAAAGATTTCGTGTTATTTTGGCCTTACCAAATTTTCGTTTTATTGAAGAAACATAAAAGGGGAAAAATAAAATAACGTCCTTATTTCTTTTCGAAACGAGGCATTTTTAATTTCTCTAGCCTCCTGTATCATAATATGAGTTTTCATAAAAAGTGGACTTAAAAACTTTTCACTCTAAGCTAGCGATATGTGGTCATAAGTGAGTGGTGTAACGCGCATTTTCCAAAAATTTGTTTTTACAAACATCGATTTTGAGTAAATTAGCTTTAGTAGTTACTGAATTATCGAAGACTTTGGATTTCTCTAAATTACCGTTATATGGGATGTGGGCGTGGTTGTTGTCCGATTTTAAGAATTTTCAACCGTTTGCTATGTTGTTTCAAGGTCAATAAAGTGTGCCAAGTTTGGGAGAAATTGGTAGAGCGGCTACGCCCACTTTCCAAAAATTTTTAATATTATTATTTTCCGCCTAAAGATGATTGTAAATATCAATTTTGAGTGACTAAGCGTAATTAGTTACTCAAATATTGCCGTTTTTGTATTTTTGAAAACTACCGTTATATGGGAGGGTGGCGTCGTTAATGACCGATTTTTTCCATTTTCAATGCCATCCGTCCCTAGCTCTAAAGAAATACACGTACCAAGTTTCGTTAAAATATCTCTGGGCATTTTGGTATATATAACTATATAGTATGTCTATATCTATCTCGATTCCTTTAAGCTGTTTGCCTTATCTACTCAAGTCTGTGGTGAGTTTGTACTCTGTAGAACTTTTGCATTCTTGTGGAACTATTTACGAAACTAGTGAAGTAATCAGAGGCACAAGATTAAAGATTTTCTTCAGGAAAGTTCTTTGACTCACATTTCAGGAGTTAAATCCTATTTTATGATTTATAACTTTAATTTGGTTGCATTTTGGGCAAAATTTCTTTGCAAAGTGGTTCAGAATTTCTGAGGCCTTAACATTTGTGAACAAACCAAATCCTAAAATATAAGTCTTGCACACTTTTAGATAGAAAATCTAAAAGCAGTTAGCATACACAAAAAAAAAAAAAATGACTTCAGTTGGCCATTTTTCTGTTACCACCACCTTACAACTTTCTTATTTTTTATGCATAGTTGAGATGGATGTGTACTGCATTGTCTTTTGGGCCGCTATAACCGAAAATGACTTCAAAAAATTGAATTTGACCCTAACTCTGTAGAACCCTCTTACTACACTCCGAAGGGGGTTAAATTTTAAATTTCCCCTGAATAGAAAATTGAAAAAAAAAGATGTCGCATAAAGGTGTGCAGAAAATTTAAAAAACTATTGATGCAGTTCGATCCCCATACCCGAAATAGGTTGAAACCGTCCTCTTTTCCGGCCATGTCTTTTTTGCGGCTAAATTTAGCAGTGTTATGAAAAAATTTCACATTTCCAATGAATTTTAATTTAAATTATAGCTTTTCAACCAAAGTGAGAATTTTATAGTAGTTGGTTGCCTTACGCTGCAATTCTTAAATGTGTACTTAAGTAGTTGAAGATTCCCTTCCCCTAGAAGAAACATTTTGCGCGTACATATGTGGTATGTGTGTAAAAAGTATGAAAAATGAAGCATCGACGTACATATGTATGTATAGTTTGTTTTATGATATCCTCAATTATTTGATGGAGATAAACAACTTTTAAATACCGTGATACAAAAATATTATGGCTAGTTTTAATATGGCCTTGAATGCTGGTGTAATATTTGTTTATTTAGTTTGTTTTTTTTTTTGCCTGATGTTATTAATCATGTACATATGTATATAATTACGTACGAAACTGTTGGAATTACTGAAGTTAATATATAGTTAGTGATTTCTTCGTTATTATTTTGCTGATGTATTTTCGTGCCCGGCTGTCATTAAGAATATCCAAGTGAACATACAAACATAATATTATATGTACATACATACGTATGTATGTACACGTGCTAATTGCATCTTATGTACTTACGTAGGTACATATGTAGGTACAATGTCGAGTATTTCTTAATACTGTTCGTAGCACTATTCGCTGCATGCGCTTAAAGTTACTGCCATTGCAGTTACAGCGCTTTGTTGCTATACTGCGAACTTTATGCTTTGGCGTTGTAATTTTTCATGTTGTTGGACATGCAACCATTTTTATATGTAGGCATGTATAAATATTAGGGTGTTCGATTATTCGCATGAGTGAACATTTAACTCTTAGTGGGGTTTATCGATAATAAAAAGATTCGATTTGCTTTCTCAATCATAATTCACACTCCAATTAACCGTAGAATCCAATTACCATTCGAGTTACGAACAAATTGTTGCCTTCCCTAATTTTTATCGGAAATTTATCGAAACTAGCTGACAAATCAAAACTGGCACTTGTTCTGAGTATTAGAAGTAAATTTAATAAATATGTGCCTACATCACCAATTTAATTAAAAAATCTATAAATTACATTTTGCATCCATTTTGTAGCGAAGAAACACAGAGACAGAGAACTGTCAAATCGAATCAAAAAACGTGCCCGTGTGCATGGGGTAATTCACGGTAGTAATTAGGAGAGCGAACAAAGTAATTCACAGTACCGTGGGAAAGCGGTATAAACTGCTACAAACAAGAAAAAAGCAGTGAACTATTTTCGTTTGGATTTCCTTTTGTTTTTTGTTAAGTAATTTTCTGCAGTGGTAAATTTCCGGTATGTTCTCATATTAAAATTGATAAAAGGTCTCTATGTATTTCCACGAAAATATTTTTGTGCAAGGCTGCCACCTGTTTGAAAATTTTAATTAAATCTAATTAATAACATAAATTAAATATTGCAATATGGGTATCAAACTAAAGAGGTTTAGGAAACTTTATTGCCGAAAACATTTTTGAGGAGGGTTGCCACCTATTTGAAAAATTGTATTCAATTAAATTGTTAAAATAAATGAAATATATTTTACAATGCGGGCGTTAGACTAAAAAGGTTTAAAAAAGTTTACTGTCGAAAATATTCTTGAAGCGGATTGCCGAGGTAAAATACTATAAATTAAATTCCCAGCAGAAAGCCCATACTTTACCTTTGAAAATATATTAACTAACACCCACATTCATAAAAAATAAAGAATGCTTCATAAATCGAAAATTTGTTTGAAAATCTCACTTATGAATGAGGCCATACGAGTTTTGCGAGGGAGTAACAACACAAAAATACATTTAAGACGCAGTAAAGCACGCCAAGTATTTGCTACTTTTCAATAAAAAATTGGAATTTTTAGATTTTGGTATACATACATAAATAAGCTAGGCGAAACCGCGGTTTGTTCCATTGTAAAAATCTGGATTACTCGGTATTCGGAAAATCAAGATTAAAAAAAACCGTGTAAAAATATTCGAAAAGACAAATTTCAACCGGTTTCGAAAAATCGAGTCAGTCACCCTAATACATAAATATGAACGTAGTTTTTTTTTTATGTTTTCTGAGCATAAACGAACCTTATATGAATTACAAAATTCAAGGGCAAGTAGGAAACTAATCGAAATAAACTTCGGTTCACTTATATTAAGTGGAACTAGAGCTGTGTATGTCTTACAATTTATGTGCATACATATGTATGTATGCACATTTGTGCATAAGCATACCTAAAATAAATAAAATTCAAAACAAAAGAATGTGCATCACTTGGGTTCAGTAATTATTTTATATTTCTTGTATCATTCTACTAAATAATAAAAACTTGCCTCTCTCTAATAGGGTCTTTCCATGAGGCGATTTTACAGGCAAACGTTTAGTCCAGCCAACACCATATACATATGTAAATGTATGCATATTTTCTTACTTGTCTGTAGGGTTCTCACAATTTCTTAGTAAATTCCAAAAAATATCGTTTCGCTAAGTTACTAAAACTCTGAGACGCTTGCTTAGATTTCAAACCAGTCCAGTGCAAATATTTGTGCATGTGCGTTTACTCAACCAACTGGATAATCAACACAATGCATTAACACAATTAACTCAAAGCTTAGATATTTAAAGTTTTATTTTCGCGCTTTCGATCTTTTTTTTTCATATTAAATTCAACACACTTAAGTCTAAGCAAAAAAAAAACAAATACTTTAATTTAAAATTCGACGTAGGTGTCTATTTACTCTTCGTCTCTCCATGGTGGCATTCTCAACCGGCCGCTGACATTAGTGCGCCTGGACTCAATCTAGCCTGCGCCAAGGGCACTGCTATGATGCGATAACGCACGCGATAGCCATTATTATCGGCAATATATTCGGTCATCTCCCTAAAAACGAGGCCAACTTTGTTGGGTGGACCAAATTCAGTTGTCCAATTGCCTCTGACAACCAATTCCTCATTCGCCGTGCCTGCATTTTCCAGTGTGATGACCTCATCGCGGCTGCCGTATCCTGGTTGAAATAAACTGTGCAAGTGAAGGGAGTAGGTAATTTTGATAGCAGCAATCATTTTAGATATAACTTTCAAAAATAGATTTTAAAACTCGCAATCACCTGAGTGTGTAGAGCACTTTTGTGTCGGCGTTAACAGCCACACGCCGAATGGTTGTGCATAGTAGTAATACCGCCAAGAGTAGGCTGCCGCCGAGTCTCTATGAGAATTAGTGTCGAGAAGATAAAATTTTCTTTTTAAACAAAGACTTTTGATAACACTTTGCACTCACAGTAATTTTCAGCATTTTTCTTTGCAAAATTTTACTCCTTTTTAAATTTGCTGTTCTTTTCTTTTTGTTTTAACTACTGGCTAAGCTCACTTTTACTCTTATCAACCGAACGTTCGCACTTCAACTTAGTCGCTGTCGGTTTGGAGCATGTTTTGCAATTACACGTTTTATCGCTACTAATGACTGGCTGCTGCGCTTGCAAGTTCTATTTCTATACTGGCCAGTATGCGCTGGAGATCTTGCGATTTTTATGTTAGCATTGCATATTACTTAGAATAAATATGTATTTCTTTTCGACAACTGTCGAATCAAAGGTTTTTTATTGCTCTTCTGCTTATTTGCATTGTCAAATATTAGCAAACTTGTTGTGAGTTTTCAAGCTTCGACAGATATTTGACAAAAAATGTTAATAGCTTACATAAATATGTAGAATCTAATAACGTATATGTACATATCCAGCAGAAGTATAAATAATTATGCACTCATCCATCTCAGGTTCTATGATGCTACGACAGTTGCACTCGCATCCGGATAGCTCTATGTACATAGTTAGTGGCGAATATTAGCAAATAGTGCTTTTAAAGTTGGTCGGTGCAGTAAAAAAAATCTTGAGCTACACAACAAACATTGCCATTTTTTTCGCCTAATAAACAATGCTTTGTTTGAATGTTTCTCTCTTCAAATATTTAAGCAGATGCATGTATGTATGTACCTTAGGGTGGTCCTTAAATGTAGGGAGCAAATTTTGACATCAGATTTCCAAAGCCTCAACCCCTTCGTCGATGCTACTTTAGTCGGAGATATCACATATAAATTTTGGTCCACATTGGAGACGGTTAAGGCGTGTCGCACAAGGGTCAGAGTTCAGATTACCCTATGACGACGTCTTAACAGACTTCAATCGGGACTCAAATTTATATGGGCTATAATAGAATTTAGTAGCATTAAATGGACTACTTCGACTATGGTGGTATCGATTTTGGGCATTAACTGAAAATAACATATTTTTAATTTTTTGAGTCTCCATAGAGGAATCTGAACTTTGCGCCCCTGTGCGACACGCCTTAACCGTCTCCAATCGGGACCAAAATTTATATGGGATAACTATGACAGTGGTGTTACCGACTAAAAAAAATCTTGCATTTAATTTTAAGGACCACCCTAATGTACATATGTGTATTGTTTGCGATTTTGCATATTTCTTTAAGGTCAATTCACAATGCGTACCTGCTTATATACATACGTGTAATATCGACTGTCAGTAGGATATTACAATATGCAATGAAGGGCCTGGCAGGGTGCGTAGAAATGAATGACGTTCTGTTATCGAAGCGATATGAGATAGGCAATTTTTGAACTCTATCACTCTATGGCGCAAATCTGAACAGGAAAAAGAATCGAAAGTTCTTGGGGATTATTCTTGTTAGTCTTCTCACAGGAATGCAAACGGGGCACTGAACCAAAGACTATGCATGCAAGAAATTAGGGTGTTCGATTATTCGCCTTTTTTCCAAAACCAGTTTTCGAGTTGTTCGAAAAATTGCTATTTGAACCGGTTAAACCGGTTTTATTTTACAGATTTTTCATACTTACTGCTACTCCGGAGATCCATGGTTAATTTTCTGGCCCCAGCGAAATCAAAAAAGGCAAACCTCGAAGTGCACTTCTTCGGAGTTGGAGTAAAAATGTAGGTCTCTCCATTTATGGGTTTCCTTTAAAGTGGAAAAGGCCTTGAAAACCTCGAAAACTCAAAACTTTTATTGAGAAAACAAGATTTGTAAAAACCGTTAATAATCGAAAACTGAAGATATAAAAACAACCGCCTATAGATATAAAATAATGGTGGTCCAATATTTTCGTAAAACTTGATATTAATTGTCTGAAATCGATAGACTGTATTCGGAAATTGAACCAGGTATCGACCCCCAAAACCTAAAAAAAAATGTATAAAAATTCATAGAATCTTTATTACATTGAAAAAGTACAACACTAATTGAATTATTCAAACTTATTCTTCCTTCTCCTTATTTTGCAAAACATACGTACATTATACATACAAATTGTTCAAAGTATATATTGCATACGTTTATAAATATTTTTATAGTAAAACTAGTACAAATAATTTTAAATATAGTAGTTTAGTATTTTACATATTAGTTGAAATAATATCAACGATAGCGAAAGAAACGCGAACAAATTTTGGAGAGGGGATAATAACGTACTGTACTTTAATGTTATATTTTTTCTGCTTTACCTATCAGTTTTAAGTAAAACTTTCAATATCTAGTTACTACAGGAAAGTAAAAAAAAAATACACGCTTTTTCTTTGCACAACACCAGCAGCGTTTTGTTTACATTTTTAAGTTTTTATTAATTTTTATTTAAATTTCATAGCATTTCCCACTTTGTTTCGTTTTACATAGCTCATGCGTTTTTATGTGTTTTTCCCGAGTTATTATAGTTTTAAAATGTTTTTTTTTTTTTTATTGCCGCATCAATTAGTTAAGTGCTTAGACTACTTTTTGTGTTGAATTTATTATAATTAAAATAGAAAAAAAACCGAAAAAATATTTTATACTGACGTGTATCCCCTCTTCAAAATTTTGTATATTTTCAGACAAACAAATTGTATTGTAAGTCTGCGCGCCTAAATGTATTGCAAAAATATATAACAAATAGTCTTAAAAGTCACACGCACACACAGAAACGCTCATAAATGTGGTAGCTCTTATTGTTGTTGTTGGTGGTGGTGGTGGTGTTGCTTACGTACATACATACGTGTTAGTGCATTTTAACTAGGAACCCAGAAGAAATAAAGCAAGAAAAGGCCACTCTCCCAACTGGCTTTCTGGCCGCTCAGCCTACTGCGGTGTACTTCCCCATCGAACGCTAGAGCAAAGCTTTTCATGCAATGGGTGCAAACGTGTCGCAACTGGAGCGTGAGATCGGCTCTGAGCTCTTTCCGCCCAACGAACACTACTTTGGTCTGGTGAATTTCGGCAATACGTGCTATAGCAACTCCGTGCTGCAAGCGCTCTACTTTTGCAAGCCATTTCGTGAAAAAGTGCTCGAATATAAGGCAAAGAATAAGCGCCCCAAAGAGACACTGCTCTCCTGCCTTGCGGATCTCTTTTACAACATTGCCACGCAGAAGAAAAAAGTCGGTTCGATTGCGCCTAAGAAGTTTATTGCGCGTCTACGCAAAGAGAAAGAGGAATTTGACAATTATATGCAACAGGATGCGCATGAGTTTCTCAATTTTCTCATCAATCATATCAATGAGATCATCTTGGCTGAACGGCATGCCAGCAAGAATGGGAATAACTTGAATGGTAGCAGCGCCGTCGGCGGCGGCAGCGGCGGCGGCGGCGGCGGCACCTCCACTGCCAGTAAATCCTCTTCGTCCACCAGCACATCGACAACTGCCTCGAATTCAACGTCCAACGGCAACTGTACAAACTCCTCGGGTTCGTTAAATGGCGTAGGTGTCGGCATAGGCATCAGCGACCACGCTTCAACACCGACACAATCGAACGCCGCCAACACGGAACCCACTTGGGTGCATGAAATCTTTCAGGGTATACTAACATCGGAGACACGCTGCCTGAATTGCGAGACGGTTAGCAGCAAGGATGAGAACTTCTTTGATCTACAAGTCGATGTGGATCAGAATACCTCGATTACGCATTGCTTGCGCTGCTTCAGCAACACCGAAACGCTTTGCTCCGACAACAAGTTCAAGTGCGACAATTGCTGCAGCTATCAGGAGGCGCAGAAGCGTATGCGTGTCAAGAAGTTGCCGATGATATTGGCGTTGCATCTGAAACGCTTCAAGTATATGGAACAATTTAATCGACACATAAAAGTGTCGCATCGCGTGGTATTTCCACTTGAGCTGCGACTATTCAACACCTCTGACGATGCCGTTAATCCGGATCGCTTGTACGATCTAATGGCCGTCGTCATACATTGTGGATCAGGACCGAATCGTGGACATTATATTAGCATTGTTAAAAGTCATGGACTCTGGCTGCTGTTCGACGACGATATGGTGGATAAAATTGAGGCATCAACTATTGAGGACTTCTATGGCCTGACATCGGATATACAAAAGTCATCGGAGACGGGATATATATTGTTCTATCAATCGCGTGACTGCGCGTCATCGTAGAGAGACTTTGTGCTTTTAAGGAATTGGCGAAGAAGGAAGATGAACAACATGAATTTATAGATTTCAAAAAATATGGTTTATCAATAGCAATTTTCTATAGAAAATAAGATGGCTTAAAGAAACTATAAAAACCAGTTAGGAAATACTTTCTGATTATGTCTTACTAACTTTCAATTAATAAATTAGTTAATAAAAAAATATTAGTACATGTTGTAGCATACCCTTAGGATGTGATAGAAAGCAGTGAGAGTGAAGCAGTTTTGATATCTCATTGATCTGTCAGCACATAATTAGTTCGCCCAGAAGTTTGCTTTAAAGGAAGCCGTATTTTGTATGTAACTGCGCTTCGTGTTGCTTTCTGACAGCTGATAGCCCCTATTTTCGCCACGAATCATAAAAGTATGCAACACAAACACACATATATTCCCTGTATCGACTGTCGCTTGAACTATAAAGCATGTTTGATAACTGGTTCGTGAGTTTTCCAATAATTCAGTATATATCAAGCAATTCTTAGACTACGTTATTCAGTTTTGAGAAAACTAATAGCACTTTTACATAGCTATCGTGTTGAAATTATATTATTTTCTCTTTGTCAATTATTATGTAATGATGAACTAATTATAATTGTTTTCGATTGATTATGTTTAGTTAGTTTTCCTTCAATTATTTATGTTCGTACATAATGTTAACAGTTTGTGTGTTTTTTTTTCGAGGTAAATGTATATCTTTTGTAAGCCAATTTATTACTGTCTTGCTTTGCTTGCAAAAATTATTGCCGATCATGTCTTAATTGTCTACAAAAAAAAAGTATACATTGCAAGAAAATATTTCAAAATAAAACTTAAGTATATGTAATACTATTATACGTAGTATGTAGTTACATATGACACCATTATAACAATTATACATACATACATATGTATACCTTAAACAAATAAATTGCCGCTGAAAATTGAAACAATTCAATTCTGTCTTTGTAATTTTTTGATTGAATGTCAGGCAAGGTGAAAGATAGACAACAACGTAGATCACAACTAGCCTAATTGATACATAACACAATTGTGGTAAATTATGTGTTGCTGCTGCATTCGTATCGAATTTCATATATCATTACAGACTATTTTATTTTCTTTTGTATGTATTTGCTTTTTCATTGTTTTCACTTATGTACCCACTTTACTGGAAAGTTTTCGCCAATGCTTCTGCATTTCATGCGTCCATAGACTGAATTAATTGCACTTGGTAACTTTAATTGGGTGATGAGCATTTTTTTTTTATCAATCTCTGTTATTTTTAGTTAAGTTTATGAAATTTTAATGACATTAGATGTTTTAAGTATTTTCTTCGATAAAGACGAAATTATCGTATACGTTTACATTTTTTCGAAATTGACTTTTTGATGCAAATTTGTTCTACACCCCGCAACGCGTCACCTGGTAAAATATTGTAGCTTAAATCCCTATAGTTACGCCAAAAATTTACTGCATATTTTATCGTATGTTAGAATGCATTTTTTTCTTGGGATGAAATTATCGTATATGCCATACAAAAGTATTTTGCACGTAATTAAAAAAATAAACTAAAATATCAAAAAAAAAAAAAAATATTCCGACGAACTGATAACCTCCTCCTATTTTGGAAGTCGGTTAAAAAAAATTTTGAAACTTAGAAAAAACGCTTTCCTGTAAAATTTGGTTTCTGACTCATACGAAAATTTTACGCAAAAGATGTCGACCCTGTCTATCTCAGGTATTCTTGCAGGGAATCTTCGAAAATTTTGTATTTCTCTTATTGCCGAACGCAGGCGTGCCCTTTTTACACTTTTCGTCATATTTTCGGCATTAGTCGGATCTTAAAGTATGATATAACGATGTTTTTGTCTCGAAGATAATTTTGTTTTTTGTTCCTAAGTTCATTGACCTCAAGTATTCCATTCTAGTACTTACCCACCACATCTCAGTTCTTATCACACTAGCGTCCCACCGTGATCTCAATAAATTAAAACTCTGCAAAAGTCATTAAACTTTTGCCAAGGAAAAAAAAAAAAATTTAAAAAAATGTTGGTGCCAGATGTAGGTCGCACTGAAAACCCATAGATAGGTTCGGTAATTTTTTTTTCAAGTTAGCCTTGAAATAATAGTTTACACTCAGGGGTGTTGAGCGAACTATATTTTGCAACTTATGCTTATTTATTTATTTTTAATAATTTTCATTTAAATTATAGTTCGACCTATAACTACGGTGACCATCCGTCCTTTATTTTAAAGCTTGCACAAAGTTAACGAAAACTAATTAAACTTCAAAAAAATTTAATCAGAATTTCAAACTTTTTGTTCAGAATTTTTCTAACATTTTCGAGTATATAGTTTTGTAGCCCATTCAATTTTAGTACAATAAAATGCAAGTTTCAAGTCACAAAAAATTACCGTTGAGTTTTTTATTTTATTGATTTTTATTTTTTTGTCGAGGATGCTGCGCATCTTCTCTATAAAAATAAATTTTGTTCATACGTTATGGCAAGATATATGTAAGCTCTAATATACATATATTGCTCGTGAAGAGCAATGAGCGGTTTCCATTGACAATTTATATTCTAACATATGTATCAATATATAAACTTTATTCTGTGGAGACGGGCAGTAACGTCTGTCAAAGCAAAGACAAAAGTAGAACCCAACACAAAAATTCTGGCCCATTCTTTTATATTTCCTGCATCGCCTTCTGTCAGTCTTTCAAAGCAATCCATGTACAGACACGACTTTTCTATAGTTTTATTATAGTATAGATTCACTGCGACGAAATCTTATTATGCATAAATGCGGACCTGCACAGCATCGTAATACATATGCGTGCGTTTGACAGTTAAATTCAACACACAAACTCTTATGTAGGTGTATTTTGACGTCTATAAATGTCAAATGCACGCAAACTCATCCGAACGTTATGGAGGTTTGCTTTAATGCTCGTAATTTTCAAATTACAAAAATTATTTATGATACCTTCACTTTAATAATTCAATGCAGAAATAACCTTCAAATAAATGTGCATGCATACATCTGTAAGCCAGTGTTGTGCAAAAATATACATATGTATATGGCTACAAGCATACGTATGTACATACATATGAAATTGCTATTCTGGCTTGCGTCCAGTTAATTTCATGCACTCAGAAGTTTGTCTTTAGTACAATCAAGTATAACCACAAAATAACTGCGCCTTATGAAGAAATGCTTTACATTTACGCCTTTGCCTTGTTAGCTTGTCCTTTGAAGAAGGCTCATTTTTGCACAAATGTGACATGGCAATGAAAGTGCTAGTAGACAGAAAAACCCATACATACATATGCACATGCATACACCCGTTGCTTATATAAAATGCAAAAATATTCATACTAAACATTTTTCTTTTTTTTCGCTACCTCAAAGCCCTCGAGCGACAATGGTCTCGAGGCATAAGCTACATACATATATACATATATATATACATAACTATGTATGCAGCAGAGAATGGCTTGAGTACATCGCAACAATAAGTACATCGTATTTATACTCTTTAATTTTCATACCCGAGTGTTAGAAATTTGAACTAATATTATTAAAAGGGCCATAAAACTGGCCGCCAAAATTATTATTTTTTAAATTGTCCTTCATTTCGTTTTATATTGAAGAAAATCTCTGAATTTTTAAATAATAATTAGGGGTCACTACCAGGGTTGAAAAATATTAAAATTCGACAAATTTGACAAGTTTTGTGATCGTTGAAAAAACTCTCTCCTTTATATGAATTTCTTCATAGTTTTCAAGATAGATAATTATTTGTAATGCAGTGTTATTTGGAACTTAAAAAAAAATTAAAAATTCTGTATTAATTCCGAAAAATCTTAGCAAATGAGTCTTTGGAGCTTAATATTGCTTCGTGAATCCATCGCTAGATTTAATATATACTCCCTGGACTGAAAACGAGTTTTTTTTAATTTTTCTTTGGTACCAAAATGCGTATGTCAAAATTGTTAAATCCCTAAAAATTATTTTAAAATTTTGAAATTTTCGCTAATATCTATAATTTGTACCTATGTATGTACACCAGACGACAAATGAAAGTGTACACCTTGTTCTAATATAATATTCACAATTATTTTTATAAATTTTTGTTGCATTATTTATTTATGAAAATATAGTTAATTCTACTATAATATAAACCATATAAATCAAAGTTTCACACTTTATATAAATTTCACAAAAATTCAAAACAATTTCATACAAATTTTCAAGTTTTTATTTAGAAATTCTAGAAAATTTTAGTCTAATGAAGTGCAGTTTCAACTGGCTACAAAATCGCATGGATTTTCGAGATTTTTTTTTAAGACGGATTTTTTCACTTTTTTTGCATAAAAGCATGGGTTTCTTATGAAAAAAAAATCTGTGTATGCAGTTTTATAGGCGATTAAATGTTAGTTTCATAAACTGCACGTTTTGAGTGTCTGTAAAATCCCGTTGATTTTTGATAATTTTTTTTCTGATGTTACGAGTTTTCTTCTATACAAAGTATGATTGGCCTGCAGACACTTTTTTTTAAGAAAATAACAAACATGTGTTACGAAAAGTAAGGCAAACACCGCATATACCGTACCCAAACGCATATGACTCTGCAAGTGGCAAGATAAAATAGTACGCGGTGGCGGTCATACCGTAACCAGTTTTAGAAAGAAATTATTTATGTAGTAGTATTGGGAAGTATAGAGTACTTTTCAGATTCGAGTTATTATTGTTATTATTATTACTTTGAATCCATCCTGAGTACACGTATTAGAGCGATGATTGGCAAAAGTAATTTGAGTACTGAGTACTTTCCGAGTTTTGAGTACTTTTGGCTACTTTGGGGTACTCAGTATCGATCCGTTTAAAAATCGAATACTGTCTACCTTTTTGAAATCTGAGTACTTTTGTAATTCATACTGCCCAACAATAGTATCTAGAGTCACAAAAAATAGGCACCACTGCTGTTCTCTGGTATGTACCCACAATATACATATGCGGTGATTTATGATAGGCAAAGCCACTCGAGAACTTAATAATCTTTTGTTAAGTAAAAGAAAAAAGGAAATAAAAGAAAGAAAAACAATGGCTTCTGAGTGGACGTGTTCAATTGAATTGCAAGAGATATCCCTCTTAAATATTAATATTAATTTCACTTCCTTATCGTAGGAAAAACTGCGTAGACAACAACGCCTCTTCATCACACAATCCGGATCAATCGACTGAGTGAAAGTGTCAGCAATCGATGCTAGATTTCTTCTTCTTCTTCTCCTACATACATAAATCGCTGCTGCCTTGCATTAAACGGTGGTAGGTATGTACATATGTAATTGTATGCATATGATAAATTCGCTCGAATGCGGAATACTTTCCAAAAGTTAACACCCAACAATCTGTCATGCGGTGTTTGTGGCATCGCCTGCGGTTACTAGCTTGCCGCGGTGTAGCTTAGCGTGTTAAACCGCCATTTATAAGCTTACTCGCAATAGCTGCTCCTAGTAAGTAGTAGCTCCTAGTGAATGCGTGCACGCATAAAAATTGAATAAAAAAAAAAAATCCAGCTGGCACTTCAGTACAGTCGTGCGCATGCGTGCACGCATCTAAGACCGCCAATGCCAATAAATAACAGCAATTTGCCGAAATTGCTTTAAAAACACGTTTAACTTGTGTAATTGCTTGTCGTTGCTGTTACTGTTGCATTTTATTTTTATTTTTTGTTTATTTAGGTAAATAATTTGCATCTCACATAGCCTGTTTTGCATTTCCATCTGACGCACAATTTGCTACCAACGCGCCCATCTTGCAGCGATAAATAAGCAGTAATGAGGAAAATACATTCAAACGCTTAGATACTTAAAGCGAAAAAGCACTTGTCATTTTTGCATATCACTAAAAGTTTCCTCTATCTTTTGGTAAATAGAGCAGGTTTTGGCGTTTTCATACGATTTTGAGACCTAATTGTTTATTTAAATGCAATTGATAGTTGATATTTATGTGTTGCACTTGCAATATTTTGATTGGAAATTTGATAGCTTGCACGGTAGCTGTGCAATGTCTTTTCGAATGAGAAAACGTTTGCTTTTTCGCTTTTAATTGAGTTGGCAGGTAGTCGTCATGCACGGTATTCATCATGATTCAGGCAATGGTATGCTATTTTAATCGAAAAAAAGGAAAGCCAATAGAGTTGCGTTACCGCATAATTGTATCTACTCTTTGTTATTCAGGAGACTCCCATGCCTGCAAATCAGGTGATGGTTGCATATTCAACCCCGCCTCGACAGAAGACGGAGGGAATAGAGAAAACCTCCGGAACGGATTGTAGCTTACGTATTGTACTCAAAGAAGATCTTGAGCTCGGTCTGGCGACCTTGAAAAACATTTAATTTTCACTTAGTTTGGGAAGAATGAAATATCTGAAGAGACTGGTTGAGTTGCGCATTTGCAGGGAGGCGCTTTCATTATATCCTCTGACTTTTTCTCAACATGATCTTGATAAGCAAGGAATTCGCCTTGGTCATTTTAGTTGGCATTGAGAGTGCTTTGGTAAATACAATTCGTTCAATGATCGGATTCGAAAAGAATAAGATATTGGACTCATGCGGAGTTAATAAAGGCTGTCCTCAGAGCGGTGTGTTGTACCCTTTGCTCTGGTGCCTTCAAATTTAAAAGAATGCGTGGTGGAAAATAGGTATCGAGGCATTGACCAGCCCTGTAATTAGTTCCAGACTAGTTGTGAAACGCAAATCTCTGCTAAATTATGTTAGAAAACGCAACGAAATTTTTCACCCTGAGTGCCTGGTCACTCGGGATAATGAGGTATTCCTTGGTCCGAAATCAGTTAAAGCACTCCCAATTTCGACCATCGAAGCCACCCTCAAAAACTGAATGAATTTTTCACTCAGCAATGACCTGGCGACTTTGAGGGCTATAAATTGTGGCAGCTGGTATGATCCGATGATGAAGATACCAGGCAGATAAACTTTTAAAGTTCCCTCGTATAATTTCTCCACACATCGCTTCGTGTTGACCACGCTCGATCGAACACATAACTTGTCACTTAGATAAACCAGTCAATATTAATTAAATACTCGTATTTATGTTTGCGATATTTTTACTTGATTTCACTTTAAAAACTTGTTGTAAAACTTGGTAATCCAGTGTGGAGGAAAAATGCATAACAACTAATCTATCTTGTACATAAATAAATATTTATTAAATGAATTAAACAACTGTCAATTTGTTGACGCACATCCGCATTGGCGTCACAACTTAGCCAAAGTGTCGGATTGCAATGAGTTTCGATGAAAGAAATTTCGATAACTTCAACATTGACACGCTGCTAGTTGAGAGCGCTAATACGTGGCTGCTTTCGATGTTGCATACATCGGCGCTATTTTGTTGTTAAAATATGTCTACATAAAGGCAACAAATTTATTTTGTCAACGAAGATTTTATTACTGTAACTATGTATATACACGTACACATATAAGGAAAACATTTTACGAATTGCCTTGTTTTTCTGCTTCTTGATTGGTGAATTTCCTGCTGCTGCTCACATTGATAGTTTGTGTAACTGAACTTGGCGTTTTTGTTGCTTGTCAAAGTACTGAAAAATAGGCATTGAATTGAAATTACCTCTTCTTTGTTTTTTTGTTTTCTTTCGAAAATTGAAATAAGCTACCGACATTGCCAAATTTGTAATATTTTTGAAAACATCCCGCGCACGTGGAAATATCCCTCACAAGTCTCCGTAGGATTTCAGACCAAGCAATCGTATCTTCCTTCCTAGTGAAGACACTGTAATTCTTCATCACAGAAAGCTTTTTGGACACTGTATTACCTTATGCAGGGGTACTGCTAATATTAGTCCTGATAACTTTTCGTTCTGATAGGATGAAGCTCGTCCTGTTCAACAGACATAAAGTGTCTAATGCTCAGCTTGCCTCGATCGGTGGCGTGCCACTTGTTCCCTATGACCGGGTCCAGTATTCTCATGTTTTGGTTGCCAGATTTCTGCATGCGTTAAGACTCTGCAATGGACATTAGCTCCTAACAACTTCATATGGATTACCTGCAGTTATCGATCCACGACAAATTTGTTAACTAATAGCCAATAGGCAAAATTAGAAATTTCTGAGTGAGACCTTCGAGCGTCTGCCATCTAACCGAAGCTACAGCTTAAAGTACACCAAATAGTTTTTGAAAACAAGTGCTACTCTATTGTGTTGAGTAGTTTAATTTGTTCATATGACGCTGGCTCCCCATTTCAATTACCTAATCACCTCATTGCGTATATGCGTAATATGAGGTGTCAAAGAGCTTGCCGGAGCAGACTCAATTAACCCTTCAAATAACACTTGTTTTATTTCCTCATTACAATTCGAAAGTAATTGTGAAGCGAGAAGGGAGTCTCATTTCAAAGCAGCACGCTTTAAATTATTCTTGCTACAGAATAGCTAGTAGTGGTAGCTAGTTTGCCTTACTCATACTCGTCAAAATCAACACCTCAAGTGTTTTACAAATAAACTAGGATCACAAAAAAAAAATGATTGCCGCAAAGTATAATTTTTTCAAACGAAAGTACATTAGACAGCAGATGTGTCGCAATAGGCCTCCACATACATATGCACATATGTAAGTATGTATGGGATCTAATAGACAGACATTCATTCCCCTTTTTACACTTCATTCGCACAGGCTTCACGGTGTTTAGAAATATGTTTTGTTTCTTAAGCGTAAATATTTTTTAGCTAATTAGTAATAAAAATATGAACGCCTCGGAAATGTTTAAAAAAATATCAAAACAAAAATTTGTTTACATTCGTTAGCAACTTGTTCTTTATCAGCGTTGAAAATTTCAAAACAAGAACCACCTAAGAACCCCCTAAATTCTGTTTGTAAATATGATTTTCACTTGAATAATTCTACACACATCTAAAATAAATTGCTCAATTTTAATAGCATATTTTTAGGCAAACTAAAAACTCATAAAAATTCATTTGCGGCAGCAGTGTTGCGTGATGTTGGTTTGCGGAAAATTTCGAAAAGATGCCACACGAAACGTGCCCAAGCTGAACGCACTGCTAAGAAACGCATACTCCCAAGCAAATAAGAAATAAACTCCCACAAGAGTATGCCATTAAAATAGATTTGTTTGCACACGCCCGCAGTGCGCTCGTGTCTTTGCCTCTATAATGTATGTGGATGCCACACAAGTGAATGCTTGACTTGCTTGGCTTGTTTGCGTGCTTGAGTTCCACATGCAGCGCAAGAATACGCATATGAAAATGTTTTTGTAGTACATACTGTGTGTGCTGCTGCTCTCTTTTTTGTAGCTTTGGCTGTCGCTTGTCGAATTTTCTTTTTGCTTCGCTCCGAGTCGCCGCATTGCTGACGCTGCTCTCGTTAGCCTCCCACTACTGCCTGCTGAGCGATTAGTGCAAAGTGCAAGTTGCGCAAATATGCGTACATATGTATGTATGTACTAAAGACCACCACCAACCATCACCTTAGTGCACCACACACCTTTGCTAATATTCTTCCTTTTTTCGCGTGCTTGGTGGCTGGCGCCTGTTATGCCTTCGCAGCAGCCGCCTCATCATCGACAACTCGATTTCACAAGGCCTCCTGCTGTAGCATCAGCACGAGCCTCTAATGCATTTTGCACTTCTTCGCTGCTGCCATTTGCTTTTGCCATAAAAAGGACCATCTCATTGCGCCTGAGTGAACTTTGTTTTAAAGCCACTCACTAGATATTCTTGTAAAAACTGTCTCCTGCATCGCCTTCTACCGAACTTCCTAGTTTGTTTATTTTATTCACTTTATTTTTATATCTTTGCTGCTGAGTAGCTTATAGCGCGTATCGTTAATTGAATTTCTAGAATTTTTTTTAGGCTTCCTCCTCAACTTGCATTGGGTGGCGCCACTTGCATCGTAATTCTATGTGTATCCATTGCCCATAGGCCAAATCGAAATATTGAACAGAGTCATATTCTGCAAGCAGGAGGTCCAACATTCAGCTAATAACTTAAATAAAGTGAAATCAAATGATTATGGCATGAGTCATCGAGTTTAAAGAGTAATTGCCAATTGACTTCTTGGTTCATAGCGCTATATTATTCCACAAAATATAGCGTGTCCTCTTTGCCAAACGACATTTTAGGATTGCATTTAAATCTCTGGATTAAACACTAGGAAGATTGAAAAATCGACATACATATATACCTGGAAAGTTGAAACCACTTTAAAATTAATTTTAGTAACAAAAAAATTATAATTTGGAATTAAAAAATGTTTATTAATTTTCAATTAAAAAAATGTAAACTTTCATTTTTATTTTCTTATTTTAGTATTCGTATTTTTAGGTAAAAAATATGAAATTGGGTAAAATTACCCCGCCCGTCTTTCTGGTGTCAACCGCGCCCTCAGTAGCAAGATGGTCACTTATGTAAGCACCTTTTGCTGGGCACCATTCCAATATGTGCCGTGGAGTTTTGATCTCCGTACTGCGGAATCTGCTACGCAAGACTAGACTATTAACTAATGAAAGATGCTTCCTGCTTTGCGAGTTTAGCGGTAATTTTATTTCTTGATTGGTCAACCCAAGCGTGTGCAGCTGGATCAGGCACTTTGATATTGAATTCCGCACATCTTTCTATAGCTAGCATACAGTGACTCAAACAAATGACCACGTGTTGAATTTTTTTTTTTTTAATATTCGTAATGTTTTTCGAGCAAAATTGTTTTTTGTTATTTTTCTATAAAAAATACCGTCCAAGCTTTAACCAAAACCATATAAATTACAGTTTCAATCAAACTTTATACAACATTTAGGAAAATTCAACGAATTTTAATCAAAGTTACAACTTTTTAATCTTTATCTTTAGAACATTTTTGGGTATGCAGTTTTAAGGCCAAAATACAATAGCGCAGTGGCAGTGGCAGTGACAGTTTTTAAAATCAGCTGTTACTGCAAATATTGGCAGCCACTGCCGCAGCAAAAATTGTTTGTTTACATTTTTGTTGTTGTCTTTTAGGCTTCAGTGACATGAACAGAAGTTGGCTGCATTTTATTTATGTCAAATTCAGCATGCGAAGTGTGCTGCGGTGAAGGCAGTGGCAGTGAATTTAGAATTTGAGCTTAACTGAGCAGTACTGCCAGCTGCCACTGCTGTATTGTGAGTCGCTCCATTGGACACCACACTTTCTAAAAAACAGCTGATTTCGAAAAACTGCCACTGCCACTGCCACTGCGTTATTGTATTTTGGGCTTTATAGCCCAATCAATTTTATTGCAATAAAGTAGAAGTTCTAAGAAGCTACGAATTATGCGATTTTTGACAAACTCCGAATTTGAATTTTTTACACTAGAATTTAATGGGCTACAAAACTGCATACTCAAGAAAATTCTAAAAAAAGCTGATTAAAAAGTTGAAAAAATTTGTATGCAAATTTGCTGAATTTTCGCGAGTTTTGCACAAAGTTTAGAAACTATATTTTTGTATTTTTTTGTTGTAGAATTCACCATATTTTTATAAAAAATTGGCATAAAAATATTAGAATAAAAGTTGTTGCATATATTGTAAAAAATCAGCTGTGCCCATACTTTTTGCCGACAGTGTTTGTTTATTTATTCATGTTTAATAATTGTTGTTTCAAATATAGTTTGATCTATAACAGCAACCACATAAATAAAAGTTTCTATGATTGCACAAAGTTCACAAAAATTAATCAAACTTCAAAAAATTTTCACAAAAATTTCAAACTTTTTATTCACAGTTTTTAAATAATTTTCTAGTATGCCGTTTCGTAGCCCATTCAATTTGAGTATAATAAAGTGCAAGTTTCAAGTTACTAAAAATTACACTTGAGTTTTTAGATTTTTTTTTATCTTCCAAAATCTATTTTTAACATACTTCGAAAAAAGGAGGAGGTTTTGAATTCTTCGGAATATTTTTTTTTATGTATGTTACCGCATAACTTTGGACTACGTTAACCAATTTCTATGATTCTTTTTCTGAATTTTAAAAGAAAGAAAGGTGGTACCTCTGAGGAGGTTCAATACCAATCATGATTAGATCATGAAGAAATTAACGATACTCTTAAATTTTTATATTGAAGTCGGTTTTGCTTTTTTTTTGCTCTAAAATTACTTGGTTTAAAAGCATTTGAAATTCTGAACATCTCTGGCCTGATGTTGAAAGTTCTAATCGAAATTATTAAAACTTTGTACAAAATACAACGTTTTAGTTACTAAATAAATTACACAGTTCAAGAAAATTTGATCTCAAAAACGGAACCGACCTCGTCTTATACATATATTTTTTAAAGCTGATTTGAAGTGCATTTACAAAATTTTTCGAACATATCCGGTTTTTGAGAAAAAGTTTTTGTTAGGAGTTTCGAGTTTGAGATAAAATACGAGCAAATTTTGTTGAACCGTCTTATCGGTTTTATTCGAGTAGATACATACATACATACATATGTGTACAGGTACATTTTTATGGTGCATTTTACCTTTCCTTATGCTATAATTTGAAATGTTTCTTGTTAATACGATGTTGGAAGCAAAGCTGCCACTTAATTATGTGCATAGCATACTTATTGTGGAAATGACCAGGCTCAATAGATACAGTGTGCTATTTATTTGAGCTTTTCTTATTTTTCTTTCCAAATAATTGCCGGCCCTTCTCTTATTCTCATTTGCATTTTTGTTTTTTCATTTTGCCATTTTGCTACGCCAGACTACCGATTTAAAGCCGTTGCCCAAGTCAAAGACTTAATCCGTCATTGGCTGTTATCTTTTGTGCATACACATAAACATCTACATACATACTATATAATTGTATATATGTATGTAGCCAATCATGCAATCAAACAACTCGATAGTAGGGGCACTCGTATGCGAATTTGCCCGTTAACTCAACGGTTTTCTGCTTCAATTGATGTTAATTGAAATTAATTCGCAAGTGCTTATAACGGAATGAATATATGTATATGTATGTACAAATACTCGTACAATACAAAAATACACACGCCCACACATATGCATTGCCTACATACAAACATAAATGCTATTTGCACTTATCTATAGCACATGACCTTCACAATTTGTTTGTTTTTCGCTTATTTGCAATTTTTGTGCTCACAATGGCATACAAAAAAAAAACACACACCTATGAATAACATTCTTTCGAATATTTCATATCAATTGTTTTAGTGTGATTGGTGTTTCTATAGAACACGTAATTTTCTTGTATTTACAGTGTTGCCAATATAGCAATTTTTTTTTTGGATATTTTTCACCTATCGCTACCTCATTTCTTATCTATTTAAGTACTTAAGTGTATATACATACATATGTATGTATGTACGTGCAGTGGCGATCAAAAATGGATGAATGCTGTTTTGTTTTTAATATTTACAATGTTTTCAAGCTAAATTTTAAGCAAAAAACAAAACCGACTTCGGTTCTCATATAAAAATTTAAGATTATCGGTAATCTCTTCATGATTCAATGATCGGATTTAAACCAAATTTGAATGGGGCCACCTGTGAGGTAACAGCTTGCCTTAAAAAAAAAACGAATTATAGACAACGACTCCCCGCCCGTATATCAAGCCCGCTGCAAACTCTAGGTCGTCAAAAGTGCTTTGATTTTTCGCCATCAATCTCTGCGGGTCTTTTTTTTAAGCGAGGATAATATTCGATAGTAGAATTGCCTGCGTGGAATTTTCTTATACCAATTTTGACACTGACACGTTATTTTAAACCAGGGGATTAAAACTGTAAAATATGGCAAATTCGCCTATTTTGGTTTCCAATCTTATACTTGTGAAATTTCCAACATTCAATAAAATCGCTTAAGTTTTTTCTTTGGGAACAAAGGGTAAGCGTATGGCAGACATACATATGTACATATGTATTTATGTATGTAAATAACTCTGTATGTGTAAGTGACACCAGTACTGCCACAACTGTACTAATACCAGATGTTGCAAACATGCAAACATGCGCATTGACCAATATATTAGTATGTACAATGAAAGAGTTAGGAAGTCATTTTTGATCATCAAGTAATTACCACAGAAATATGCTGAAAATCGCTTTTGTCAAACTTCGAATAGCGGCTCTTTGAATATACGCCCTTCAATTTCAATATGACGCCATCTTCAGAGTGACATCGCTGTTCGCAGACGTCGCACAGTGAGACAACGCCGGCATTAAATACAAGGAGTCATTGTAGAGCTCTGAAATTTTGCACAGGTTATTTTTGAGACAATTCCAGTTTTTAAAAAAAAAATTAAGAAAATTCGCCCACTTTTACGCCCACCTGCCATACAGTCGAAATTTGTAAAATGCCGTATTGTCCGTAATACTTTAGGTATAACTTTCAATTTTGGTATACTTGAATGTTATATAGTTACAAACATTATTTGAAATAAAAATTGAACTTTGGCCCACTTTTAACCCCATCACCCATACTACCTCAACATAAAAAGTGCCATATTTTCTAAAATGTATTAAATACAACCTTCAAATTCGATATTACTGTAATTTATATCATTTAAAATGTTTCATGCAAAAATTACAATAACACGCCCACTAATACGCCCACCTCCCATTGAAATGCAATAAAAAAAACAATATTTTTTTTTCATTCAATCAATAATTTTTTAACATCATCATGGTATTCTAATTTTTTTAATTTGTTTCTCATTCTAAATGAATTAATATAAGGATCTGATGATATTTGCAAATAGTGCATTACATCTTCATTCGTAGAAATACGTGAATTTTTACGAGAATGGAATAGCCTACAGTTTCTATACTCCTTATTCATTGCTTCTTGCGCTTCTTCGGATAACATTCCTGTAGCAAAAAAAAAAGTTAATATTAAATAAAGTTTAAAAAAATACTTTCAAAAATAAAAATTGCAAACAAACCTATTGGCAATATAGCCTCAGATACCATTTTGCTGCCGTGAATGAGAACTTTATGCACAGTGATGGGCATGTAGTACCAGCCATAAAGCTCTACATATAATTTTGCAGTGTCCATGCAATACGTATGGAATTTACCAACATCTATATTTTTACTACTATTTATAGTATTTAATATAATTTTAAAGCGGTGAATTAAGTCTACATTTACACCAGTTATGTCAGCGGTTATTTCTGGATGTTCAAAAAATCTTCTAGAGACATTACCATCATTGGTTGTTCCCATGCCTTGTTTCACCACATCGACTTTTAAGCCCAGAACTAATTTGAAATTTTTTATTTTTTTTAAATTTTATTACTATTCTCTTGCACAATAAGTGAATAGTAAACAATTAAACAAAATAAAAGTAAAAAGTTGTAAACATGCTATTGCATGCTAACATACGTATAGCGACAGAATGTGCGCGTTACGTACTTTTTGTAGTTTTTTGTATGTTTAATGTGCTTTTGCAAACTTTTGCTATATGTCCTCTACTTTAAATTAAAGCTGAGACTTCAAACTTTCATTTGGTATAAGTCTGCACCTAGGGCGAGGGGCTGCTCTATATTTCCTAGGCCATTGAAAATGCAAAATGTTCAATTTTTGCACCACAATTCTGTTGTTAAGAAAAAAAAAATTTGTTTTTTTTTTAAATTTATTTTTTCATTTACTCATTCTACAATAACTAAATTAATTAAAAAAATACTTTAAAGTTACATTTATTATGTACTTTTATTTTAATAAGCTTTTGATTATTACATATTGAACTAACATATTTCAAGCGCGTTGGCATACCTCAACTTTGACTTGCTCTAGACCAAAAAGTAATGAAGTTATGAGGCTGAAATTTCAGGGAATTGTTACTCATATATCTGTTAATATACTGTGAAAATTTCATCCAAATTGGACGACACGTCAAAAACCATTTTTTGCCGCGGTTACTATTGGGCTGCCTCACTGTGCGTCGTTGTTAAAATCATATTTAATTTTCATATTATGGCAATAGTGATTTAAATTTATATATTTTTTGAAATGAAAAAATATAAATTCCGTCTTTTAACAACAAACACATGTCGATTTATAAGTACGACGGTCTTAAATGCACATAAATTCTTTAGCGTAACTAATTAAACTTGAAAAGTACCAAGTAACAACAGAAAAGCAATAAATTTTTCTTTACTAAATGTTTAAAATGAAAAATTAATGAATGGCATGTCCTAAATACAAATATGCTGTGAAAAAGATTTATGTATGCATCTCTCTCTGTAATGCACTATTGACTTATTAAATCAAGTGTGACTACATTTATGGGACAATATTTTTATAAAAAATATTTCTCTAAGAAACTACTATTTATTGTCACCTAAAACTACATATTGAGTTTAGTTGTTGGGGTGTTACGTAATGGCTGGTTTTTTTT